TAGTAGTAGTAGTAGTAGTAGTAGTGGTAGTAGTAGTCGTAGTAGTAGTAGTAGTAGTAGTAGCAGTGGTAGTCGTAGTAGTAGTAGTAGTAGTAGTAGTAGTGGTGGTAGTAGTAGTAGTAGTAGTAATACTAGAAGTAGTAGTAATAGTAGTGGTGGTAGTAGTAGTAGCAGCAACAATAATATTAGTATCAGCAGTAGAAGTAGTAGTAGTAGTAGTAGTAGTAGTAGTAATAATACTAATAATAATAGTATCAGCAGCAGAAGTAGTAGTAGTGGTGGTAGTAGTAGTAGTGGCGGTAGTAATAGGAGTAGTAGTAGTAGTAGTAGTAGTAGTAGTAGTAGTAGTGACAGTGGTGGGTAGACTATACTTTGAACGACAAGAATACTAATCATCATATACATAGCAATAGAATAGAAACGACGACGACGGCGACGACGACACGACGACGACGACGACGACGACGACGACGACGACGACAACAACAACAACAACAACAACAACAACAACAACAACAACAACAACAACAACAACAACAATTACTACTACCACGACGGCTACTACAACTACTACAACTACAACTACAACTACAACTACAACTACAACTACAACTACAACTACAACAACAAATACTACTACTACTACTACTACTACTACTACTACTACTACTAAATATTGAAACTATTATTTCTTTAGTCTTCTTTTCCTTAGTATTGTCAGTATTATTAATTAATATAAGCCTAACAGCTAATTATCGTCATCACCATCGGCATCATCATTTTCATCATTGTCGCTGTTGTAGTTGTAGTAGTGGTTGTAGGTGTAGTAGTAGTAAATTAGCTTTATGACAATGAGATGAAGAAGACCAATGTTGAGATGATTCCGGTTTAAGGTTTCGACTCTCACAACTCGCGCAAGGCCGGCAAATTCGCTCTCGCAACTCGGACAAGCCAGAGGTGGTTTCACGGTTCGCAGTCGTTTATGGTTTACAGTAGGGTTTCGGCACTCACGCTCGGACAATCCCGGCGAGGCATGTGGTCTTGGCTCAACAAGTGAAACCAAGCACTGTAAGCGAGGCGAGAATTTTCAAGACCCAGTAAGTTCCAGCCTGTAACGAGGCGCAATCTCCCACGGACTCAACATCCCCGCATACACGCATAGACCAGTTAGGGCCGGTTAGGGACTTCAAGCCACTGTCGCACTACAAACGATCAGGTCATGGCTCAGGGACTTTAAGGTTGATGACTGATGATTCATTATCTTGAGACACGCGATGATTCGAGGCGCAGAAAGTGGGGGGCCTCAGGTCTGGGAGCTTCGAGGTTGCGATTCAAGGCCAAGGGCAAGTGGTCAGGTTTCGGGGCGCCAGTGCGCCCGTTTGCCTGGCAGCCTGAGCCCTTTGCCTTTTAGGGTTTCCAGGGTTTAGGGTTTAGGGTGCGACATAGGGTTTAGGCTTGAACCCCCCGCCCCTCCGCTGGCGCCTTCGTACGGACGGCTTGACCCTCGATGGACAAAACCGTCCACCCTGGCCGCACGCCGAGCATCCAGGCCTGAGGCCAAAACAGGCTATGAACCCTAAACCCTAAACCCTAAACCCTAAACCCTAGGGCCTGGGAGCGTTAAAAGTTTGAAGGCTGAGGGCTGGAGATTCACGGGCCCTTTCACGCTCACGCTAGACTCGCTGGACTCCCCGCTAGGCCGCTAGACCTTGGGCTGAAGAGGAAATCGTCGTCAGTTTAGGGTTTAGGGTTTAGGGTTTAGGGTTTAGGGTTTAGGGTTATCTTGATCCATGTCTGCCTCGTGGATTCGAGCGCATTCAGGTCCGAAGAGCGAGCGAGCGAGAGAGAGAGAGAGATGGGTGGGTTCAGACACAGAGACAGACCGAGACAGACACAGCCACAGACACAAAAAAAAACGGAAGAGAGGGTAGGGAGGGTGAGAGGCGCAAACTGGAGAAGGGAGCTTAAGCAGGCAATGCTTGAAGATCCGTTTGAAGATCCGTTTGAAGATCCAGAACGAAAGACCCACATGACTCGGAGGATGCAAAGTGTGCAGGATGCAAGCCTTCGGACTCAAACAGACACTTCTTTAGATAGCACATGGCATGTGGTGGCATGGCCTGCAGGCAGAGAAGCCCCTCCGTCATTGTGGCACTCCACAGACACTCCTTTTTGGCTGATGCCTCGCGCTCGATTTCACGCGCCGGCGCGAAGCCCAAGTGCCAGGATGCCCCGAGATCTTGAGCCTTGGACTTAAGCTGGATACGATTTATGCGGCTCCACGTTTTGGGGCATATGGGCTTCCGGAGCTGCAACTCAGAACTCCTTGATGGGCTGCACCTTTCCCAAGGTCTCCTCACGCTTCGCTGCAGAGTCGGGGGTTTGAGGCCAGGATCTGCCATGAGCTTCCACGGAAGCGGCTTCCCAAAGACAGTCATCCGACATGGCTTGGGGCACAGCGGCGGGTCCTCATCCTCTGATGAAGAGGAGCTCTCTTCCGGCGGTGGAGCAGCCTGACAGTCTTGTCGCAGCGAATGCAGCAACTGACTATAGGCACTTACAGCATTTCACGGAAGACTATAGGCTCGCGTCTAATGACCACAGACGATCATCATTCTCACATGGTCGAGTAGAATAAGTCTGACATCTGCGACTGCCCTAGAGTACTAACAGCTCAAAGGCCTCAAACCCTAAACATGGCCCTAAACTCTAAGCAAAATATCTAAGCCAACTTCCTGTAACTACTTAAACGAAATCTAAAACCTTAAGCTCTCGACGCTCATGCTACATGGCGCAAAACGGAGGTAGCACGACGAGTACGAAGCTGATGCTACAGAGGCAGTTTTGCAGCAAAGGAACGACGGCAAGACGTGGTGTAGCGCCGTCCCCGTTTAACTTGCGATAGAACCCCGGGTGTTCTTCACAATCCTAACATATCCGACATATCCTAGTCCTAGTCCTAATGCAGCCCCGAAGCCATGGATGCCATAGTTTGCGATGACCTCAAGGCCTCCCCGAAAATCAGCCCTGGTCGATAATGCCGGGGGGATACAGTGGATCAGAACATTTGCAACGCCTTGGCTTTCTCGGCTTCCTCCTTCTTTTTGACGTCCTCCTCTTCCACCTGTTGCGGTCGACTGCTTTCTGCTAAAATCTTCCAACTTGGACAAGACATGCAGGGATTCTGATACCGATCTTGTTTTCTGAACGATACCGCTGTTGGGTGGGACTTCATGATCAAGGCGGTGTATTGTACAAGGGCACTGAGCTCTAGTCATAATTCCTCACAGGCGGTTGGTCACCACAGTGCCAATTCGTCTC